AGACTGGAGTGCAGTGGTGTGATCTCAGCTCACTGCAACTGCTGCCTCCCAGGTTCAAGCGATTCTCCTGCCTCAGCCTCCCAAGTAGCTGGGATTATAGGCATATGCCATCTCGCCCGGCTAATTTTTGTGTTTTGGGTAGAGACAGGATTTCGCCATGTTGGCTAGACTGGTCTTGAACTCCTGACCTTAGGTGATCCACTTGCCTTGGCCTCCTAAAGTGCTGGGATTACACCTTGCCCAGCCTATTTGTTAGAAACCAATCTCACATTCGTTTCCCCAGAGCATGAAGGACAGAAACACAGATTTCTGTCTTCTGGGACACTCTAATGTCCCCAGATCATTTATCTTCCTGTGTCCCTGCAGAACTATCAAGGGCTCAGTGCAGGAGATCTACTCCTGTGAATCACAGACTTGCAGGCTTCTGGCAATGAACCACTTAAATCCTATAGGGCCATGCATTTTTCTTCCCTTAACAATAAGCTGTATTTGAAGGTTAATGAGCACAACAAAATATTATTATTACTTTTTTCCTGCACAGAGATCCACTCCATTAAGGTTATCTGAAACTCACTGGGTAAGGTATTTACACAAAGCTAGAGTGCCAGGCTGGCCAATCTTAAATGTCAGATGCTTAACTTTTGGACTCTTGCTCTTTTCTCCCTTTCTTTTGGCCAGGTTCTTTAGGACAAGGGACTAAGTTCCCCACACCTGTCCCCCATACCAAGAATGCAGATGGAAAGAATAAAGAAGCTTCTTGGAGTTCAAGCTCCATTTCCTGATCTAGAGGCTCACACTTAAGATCCCACCCACTCCTGAGCCACTTTATTTCCCTTCTTCATGCATGGCAGGCAGGGCTTGGGTAAGGGTTCTGGGAGCAATTTCAAAACTGCTAGTTGATATGTTTAGGCTTTGTGTCCCCACCCAAGTCTCATCTTGATTTGTAATCCCCAGGTGTCAAGGGAGAGACCTGGTTGGAGATGACTGGATCATGAGGCAGTTTCCCCCATACTGTTCTCATGGTAGTGAGTTCTCACGAGATCTAATGGTTTTATAAGGCAGTTTTCCTGGCTCTCTCTTGCACAGACTCATTCACCTGCCACCACGTAAAAGATGTGCCTGCTTTCCCTTCTGCCATGATTCTGTTTCCTGAGGCCTCTCACACCATGCAAAAATGTGAATCAATTAAACCTCTTTCCTTTATAAATTACCCAGTCTTGGGTAGTATCTTTATAGCAGTGTGAAAATGGACTAATACACTAGTCTAGAGGTGAATTCAGAGCAAGCACCAAGAGATACATGCAGAAATAAATGAACAACTGCATTAGAAAAACAAGAAAAACCTAAGTAAACTTTATTTTGTTTCTTTTTTTTTTTAAAGATGGGGTTTCACCATGATGGCCAGGCTGATCTTAAACTCCTGACCTCAGGTGATCCACCCACCTTGGCCTCCCAAAGTGCTAGGATTACAGGCGTGAGCCACAGCGCCCGGCCAAGTAAACTTTATTTTCAAAATGTTTGAGATAGAAAAGACAATGGCAAAGCCTAACAATAATTAACAAACCAGCCCTAGAATGGCAGAGTGCTCCTGTGATGAGAGGGGCTAGGGATGGAAAGGTGGGTGGAAGACACAACATTTTTCTAGCTTCAGAAAGTCAGGGAGCCCAGATAACAGCCTGAACATCATAGAATTGGTTACAGATTCTTTACAAAGGTGTTTACCTGTGGGAAGGAGAAAATCAGAAATTTAATTTCAGATTTTTATTTTATTTTTTTTTTTGAGACAGAGTTTTGCTCTTGTTACCCAGGCTGGAGTGCAATGGCACGATCTCGGCTCACCGCAACCTCCGCCTCCTGGGTTCAGGCAATTCTCCTGCCTCAGCCTCCTGAGTAGCTGGGATTACAGGCACGCACCACCATGCCCAGCTAATTTTTTGTAGTTTTAGTAGAGACGGGGTTTCACCATGTTGACCAGGATGGTCTCGATCTCTTGACCTCGTGATCCACCCGCCTCGGCCTTCCAAAGTGCTGGGATTATAGGCGTGAGCCACCGCGCCCGGCTAATTTCAGATTTTTAACAGAATTTTCAACAGTCCACCCCCAATGCATATGCAGCCATGGGGTTTTTGTGAGGAAAGGAAAATAGGCATGGAGAAGAAATGTGAGCAGCCCAGGGTCATATAGCATCAAGTGGCAGACCCGGGAATAGAATCCAGAAGTCTCATTTCCCTAGTTTTAGAATGCCTTAGAGAAGAAAGTCAGCTGGCAGGCACATGTTACAAGTCAATTATTTAACAATTATTAATCCAGCATACTTTCCAGAATAGGGATGTAATTTGTACAAGATCCCATAGGCCTTGGAGTGTGAAATGCAATGTGAGATGCAAAGCACACGACTCATGATATTGAACTTTGAAGCAAAGGCCAGAAAGATAAAAGTACAACAAATATAAACCACTAGAAAGCAGGAGTTATAGTCCTTCCCACCTCTCTCATGAGGTCTTCTTGTTTGGTTACTTCCTCAGAAAAATCATCATTGACATCCAACACCAGCACTGGAATATTCATCAAAGCCTCCAAGTGGAGCCTATAAGCAGCAGGAAAGTTTGGGGGACAGAAAAAAAGAAAGTAACTTGAGTCAAGCCTCACATACTTACCAAGTCTTAATTATTCAGAGAACAGATCTAAATTCAACATGGCTTCTCAATGAAACTGCACGTAAACAGCAACAAATTCAATAAAGTTGGCTGGAAAGAGAAAGGTTGAGGTTTCTCTTCATTCTTGAGAGTGATACTAACGGTCACAGTGCCAAACATTTTAAGTGGACAACAAACCAAGCCTAAAGGGAGGATAGGCAGAAAATAGGAATGCCAACTTAGTAAAATGGACAATTTCTCTAATATTTTTTAGCCCTTCACGCTGAGCCAACTAACATCATCGATCACAATGTTCAATCTAGGGGAATGTTAAAAAAAGAAAGAAAAAGCTGGAGAAAATAGAATCTAATAAAAAGGGCCTTAGAATGTACAGATTATATTCACTATTAAACAACTTTTTTTTTTTTTTTTGGAGACAAGAGTCTCTCTCTGTTGCCCAGGCTGGAGTGCAGTGGTGCAATCTCGGCTCATTGCAACCTCTGCCTCCCAGGTTCAAGCGATTTTTCTGCCTCAGCCTCCTGAGTAGCTGGGATTACAGGCACCCAATACCATGTCCAGCTAATTTTTGTATTTTTAGTAGAGACAGGGTTTTACCATGTTGGTCAGGCTGGTCTTGAACTCCTGACCTTAGGTGATCCACCTGCCTTGGCCTCCAAAAGTGCTGGGATTATAGGCGTGAGCCACCGTGCCCAGCAGTATTAAACTTCTGAGTTGGAAAATACTTGACATTTCCAATCATTTCCAGTATATTCTGAACCTTCCTAAAGGGGGCTGCATGCTGAACTTGTTTTTAACAACTGGGTGTTGGGAGGCAGGTCTCTATCTGATCCATTCTTTTCTCCACTTACTTAGTTGTCTTGTGAATAAGCCAGGCCTCGTGTTGGTCATGCAGCTGCTCTAGATAGGCCAGTTCGATTCCTTTCTCCTCCTCCCTGGCCCTCTGGTACAGTCTCTTCAAACAAACCTAAAAAACAATCCCCAAGCCCCGATGAGCTCATTTGCTGTTTTGGCTGCTATAATTTGGTCTTAGGAGGGCTATGAGGCCCACCTGTAATGTCTATTTGGGCATTACAAGCCATGCCTTTGCTTCTGCTGTCTTGTTTTCTTATGCAATCAGAGGATCTACACCATTCTTTCCATCTCCACCTTAAGCCTGCTCTTCCTCTGGAGTATCCTAAGCTGGTTAATGGCGAGTATCGTCCATCCAGTCATCCAAGCCATGGACCTAGAATTTTCCTTGCTTTTCCTCCTTTCTACTACATTCGGGAAGTCATTCAATTCTCTTTCATGTCCAGTTGGTTCTTTCCCCTCACATCTGCCCTTGTCGGGTCCTCACTGCCTCTCACCTGGATTATGGAAGGAGCCTCTGACTTTGCCTCCTGGAGGCAGGGAAGTATATGGACAGAGCTGTACAGGCCTTAAGGTCGAAAAGTCCAGGAGTAAATTCCTGCCTTTATCAGGTACTCGCAGTGCAATCTTTGTGGGCTTCTATTTCCTCATCCTCTACCCATCCACAGGTCACTGAGGTAAGTCATATTGAGCTCCTGGCAAAAGCTGTTCCCTCCTTCCAGTGTGTCCCCTTCACTCCACTCTTCTGTAGTATGGCAATATAATGACATAACTTTCCTTGCTGAAAAGACTTCACAGGCTCTTTACTGCCTATATCCATAGCCCCAGGGTTCAAGGCGGTATGTATCAGTAGCATCACATCTATATAATGTTAGGTAATTTGAAATATCTCTTTCATATCATACCAAACATTCACTCAGGAATAGAATGTAAAATTTGCACAGGTCAAAGATAAAACAAAGTGGAAAAACAAGTGAGGCTTGAGACTAACTCTCCTCCCCCCAACTCTGCAGAGTGTGCTTAATTCTATTCTGCACTCATCCGGTAGTGAAATTTTATGCACACTGGTTCAGAAAATGATGTCTTCTTGACCTGTCACAAAGCTACCCCTCCTACTTCTCATCTGCCTTAGCTCTTCCCCTGGACTCACTGCTTTAGCCAGATTTGACCTCTTTCCTGGGGAACAGGCCAGGGTCTTTCACATCTTAAAATTTTTGCTCCAAATGTTTGTTCTGACTGAATTATCCTCGGTCCTCTCTCTGCTTGACAAACATTTCATTATTCAATGTCATCTGTCCTTGAAGAATAGATGGATTAACTCACTGATTTAAGACTTCTTGCTTTCAAATACTTAAGAAATGTAAACTTAATTTCCAAACGTAGTAGACAATAATCCCAAAGACTTAGGGATCTTTGCTGTTTCCCTCGTCTTACCTTTTCTCTAAGGAAACAAAATTATACAAACAAATTTCATTAATGATCAAAAGGTATATGCAATTGCAATTATATACTGCCAGACTGCCTCCCTAGAGGTTAATCAATTTACATTCCCACCAGCAAGGTAGCTTTAGGATTTCTAAGCATAGCAAGGCTATCTAATTTTCCTTTCTGAGAATAAAAAATTCTCTGCTTCGTGAAATAAATTTTTTTAAAAAATTGAGATGGAGCTTGCTCTGTTGCCCAGGTTGGAGTACAGCAGCATGATCTCGGCTCACTGCAACCTCCGCCTCCTGTGTTCAAGCAATTCTCCTGCCTCAGCCTCCCCAGTAGCTGAAACTAGCATGCCACCATGCCTGGCTATTTTTTTTTGTATATCAGTAGCGACGGGGTTTAACCATGTTGCCCAGGCTGATCATGAACTCCTGAGCTCACGCAATCCAGCCACCTTGGCTTCCCAAAGTGTTGGGATTACAGGTGTGAGCCACTGTGCCCAGCCAAAAATAATTTTTTTTTTTTGGTGGCTTTATGTTTCCAAGTACACACACAAAGGCAGAACAATTCTTTTTATGAAAGCAATTTATAATTATTCATTCACTGCTTGCAGGCAAACATTGACACTAACATTGATCTATTAAAATAGGCTAACATATCTCTCTTTACTATTAATTTGCTCAACAGAGCAAATGGTTTTCCTTTAGAAGTTAAATCTCAACTGGTGGCAGTATTGAGAGAAAAAAAAAAAAGAAGTCGAAGTAAACTCCTACTTTGAGCATTTGTCATTAACTCTTGCTTTACTGATATGGTTATAACAAATTCTATATATAAATATTTTTTGAGACAGTCTCGCTGTCACCAGACTCCAGGCTGGAGTGCAGTGGCACGAGCTTGGCTCACTGCAACCTCCGCCTCCCAGGTTCAAGGAATTCTCCTGCCTCAGCCTCCCAAGCAGCTGGGACTACAGGCATACGCCACCATGCCCAGCTACTTTTTGTATTTTTTTAGTAAAGATGAGGTTTCACCATGTTGGCCAGGATGGTCTCAATCTTTTGACCTCATGATCCACCCGCCTCGGCCTTCCAAAGTGCTGGGATTACAGGTGTAAGCCACCGTGCGCAGCCTCTATTTTTAAGAATCCCATGCAAACAGTGCTTTAGTCTGGCCCCTCTTCATCTCAGTCCTCATGAGGAAAACACACCTGAATGTGAACAGGAAAGACAATCTAGCTGCAAGTGGCAGAGGAGACCTATTACTGGTCTTCTTAGCCTGCCCCACCCAGGAAGAATTACTGTTCTGATTGCTTTAAGTCAGAGATAGGAAATGGAATGTGACTGCTCGTGGGTCTTTTCACTATGCCTCTCAAGCCCAAACCCAGGTACCATTTTTCCCCATGCACCTCCTGCATGCTGTCCTCATGCTATGCCAATCCCAGGCAGGGCCTGGCTTTTTGATGTACACTGATCAGCTGCACTCTCTTCTTGATTCCATGGGGCTGGGTAGGAACACTGAGGCCCAGTCATTTCTCTTCTGAGTTTTAAAATTGTTGGCTTGCTTTTTTTTCTTTTTAATTTTTAGAGATGGGGTCTCCCAATGTTGATCAAGCTAGTTTCAAGCTCCTGGCCTCAAGCAATCCTCCTATCTCAGACTCCCAAAGTGCTGGAATTATGGGCATCAGTGAGCCACTGTGCCCGGCCTGACTTGTTTGCTTTAAGGAAAAAAAAAAAAAAAAAGGTTTATTTATTTATTTATTTGTTTTAGACAGGGTCTTGCTTTGTGGCCTAGGCTGAAATGCAGTGGTGCAATCATGATTCACTGCAGCCTCAATCTCCCAGGCTCTAGCGATCCTTTCACTTCAGCCTGCTGAGTAGCTAGGAATACAGACACACCACCTACTTGGCTAATTTTTAGATTTTTTGTAGTGGGGGGCGGGTCTCACTATGTTCCCCAGGAGGGTTTTGAATGCCTGGGCTCAAGTAGTCCTCCCACCTTGGTCTCCCAAAGTGCTGGCATTACCAGGTGTGAGCCACCACACTTTGGCCTGGCCTGCCCCGGCTTGCATTTAAGAAGTTAAGGAAGTAGGCTCAGCACAGTGGCTCACGCCTGTAATCTGAGCATTCTGGGAGGCCGAAGCAGGAGGATCACAAGGTCAAGAGATGGAGACCATCCTGGCCAACATGGTGAAACCCCGTTTCTACTAAAAATACAAAAATTAGCCATTCGTGGTGGCGGGCGCCTGTAATCCCAGGTACTCAGGAGGCTTCAGCAGGAGAATCACTTAAATATGGGAGGCAGAGGCTGCAGTGAGCCAAAATCACACCATTGCACTTCAGTCTGGGCAACAAGAGCAAAACTCCGTCTCAAAAAAAAAAAAAAAAGAAAAAAGTAGTTAGGGAATAGGTAGAAAGGAGCAGAAGACCCTACGAAGTCCATCTGACATGCTCAAAGCTAGTATTTACTAGACCTCTGAACTGGAAGATTAGGCACTTGCACAGCTTTTTACATAGTGATATGTCAACTTCTATTCTGCTCTTCCCTTGGGTACAGTTACCTCTGAATTTCACAGAAGAGGTCAAGTGTGACTTCAGGGAAGCAATATGGGCATTCCTGGATCTCTGGGTCTAATGCCATCAAAACAGCATTAAAATCCCCATCTAATTCCAAAATGAATAAGCTATTTTCTTTTCTGCCATTAAGTTGCAATAATCCTTCAATTCTTCTCATTCTACTCCAGCTAAAATATTCCAACTAGCCACTCCGAAAAGGCGGATCTGCCCCCAAGTGATGATGACTGCCATCACCATTTGCTATGGTTTAAGAGTATATCCCCCAGCATTCATGTGTTGGAAAGTTGGTCCTCAGGGTGGTAGTGTTGGGAGGTGAGGCCTTTAAGAGGTGATTAGGTTGTTAAGACAGATGAATGTCAGTCTCCTGGGACTGGGTCAATTCTTGCAGGAGTGAGTTCTCACTCTCGTACGACTGGGCCAGTTGCCATGAGAGCAGGATGTTATAAAGCAAGGCTGCTCCTCCTGTCTTGCCCCTTTTGCACGTTCCTGCTCCCTTTCACTTCACCATGTGATGAGGCAGCAGGAGGCCCTCACTGGAAGTTGAGGCTGCCCAATTTGGACTTCCCAGTCTCCATAACTGTGAGCCAAAATAAGCCTCTTTATAAATTAACCAGTTTCAGGCATTCTGTTACAAGGTCATTCAGAGTGCACAAAGAAGAAAAGCAATTAAGACTTTCTTGCTCTCCTTGCTGGGTCCAACTTCCACTACCCAGAAACAAGAGCCTCTTCAGCTAGCCCAAGTAGCCCCATTTTGCTCCCAAGAATGAGTCAGCCCACTTCCTCTCTCACTCCTCCCCAGTGCTGGCTTCATGGCACTGAGCTGATTGTGCTGAAGTTCTGTTTCTCTTGGAAAAGGTTAAGTCAGCATTCTCACTTCTCCTAATGCTCAGCTCCTCAGCCTCCTGCTTCTTTCAGTCCAGCCACCCCATGACTCCCACAGGAAACTTGTCACCTCTTCAAATTCCAACTAGGACCTTTACTCAGTCCAACCTTATAGCACTGTCACTTCTCTTTGACCCAGGCCACAAGCCTTCCTGGGGCTCAGAACTTCTCTCTCAACTTGAACCCTACACTTCGACACTTCAAACTGTCCTCTTTGTGAGGCGACTCTTCTCCCCACAATTGCTGACACTTATCCCTACCCCTAAAATATAATCCCCTTCTTCTATTCTGGCTCCCAGACAATGAAGACTATTGAAGTAAGTCAAATAAACATGACCCACCTGGTCAACTTGCAATCAATGCATCTAACTTTAGTGTAGTTCTATTTATGGAAGTTTCTTAGCCCTCTGGCCTCACTGAAACTTCAGTTCAGTTTTAATTTATTTTAGAGACAAGTTCTCACTTTGTCACCTGGGCTGGAGTACAGTGGCTTGATCACAGCTCACTGCAGCCTCAAGCTCCTGAACTCAGGCGATCCTCCTGCCTCACTTCCCCAGTAGCTAGAACCACAGGCACACATAACCACACTTGGCTAATTTTAAAATTTTTTTGTAGAGATGGGGGGTCACACTATATTGCCTAGGCTGCTCTTGAACTCCCGACCTCAAGTGATCCTCCCATGTTAGCCTCCCATTGCAGGTGTGAGTCACCGCAGCCAGGCCAGTTTCATTTTAAACCTTAACCCTTATTTATTTCTGTAGAATCTCTTATTCCCTCCTATGATCTAGCTTTTGCCTCATAATGTCCAGAAACTCTCAACACAAAGATCCTCAATATCTGGTCCCAGTCACATTCAGGGGCCTCATTCTTCCTGGTTGCCACCTTCATAAGCCCCTTTTTTCCAGTCCTCTCCTCGTTGGCTGGTGTGAAGCTGTGTGACGGGAGCTCTCCCACTCATCCTCTGGTTCTGCTCAGTCTGTTCTCAGGCTCCTTTCTGCCCACAAGTATCAGTTCCATCTCTAAAAGGCATAGCCTCTAGCTTGGAGACAGCTTTCCTTCCTTTTAACAGTATGTGTTATATCTGGCATTTGACTATATATTGGAGGTATGTCCCAATAGCTGACAGTACATCTCATAAAACAAACAAACAAACAAACAAAAACAACAACAAACACCTCTCACCTTCACTCAGAATCCCTCTCCAGAAGAGCCCTTAGAGATCATCTAGATTAAGCCAGTGGATTTTACATGCAAGGATCTTTCTAATGGAAGGTCTCCAGGGGCTGCCCAAGGTCACTACCAGTCAGCAGAAGCCAGAGTTCACTTCCATCTCCAGAGACTTTGGTGCTCCTGCAATGACATCATCCTACTGCATGCAGGATGGCACCAGAGAGTCACAGAATGGAACTACTATGGTCCCTTCTCCCTTCCCAGTGGCATCAGGGTTCAAAAAAGAGCTATTAGGGCAGTGTCAATAAGAGAAAATTCTCCTTCTCCTCCTCACAGCTTATTCAGGAAACCATTGAAACTACTACACACTCTGATTACCCTGTCAGAGTGAAGGAGGAGCTGAGGCAAGTGACTACAGGTCAGAGCGTCCCACCTGAAAACCCTGAGTGATAAAGATGACGCTCGATTTGCTCTGTTGTTGCTAGATCAACGGGAATCCTTTCATGCATAGTCAATGGCTTTAGCACTCTGCTGCATGAAGCCAGTGGGGAAAGGGGTGCTCAACGGTGGGACAGGAGGGTATCCCCCACTGCTCTCCATGCTGCAGGTAATGTCTATGCTCTAATTTCTCCAACCAGAAAATCAGGGGCTCCGTGAATGTCACTTCTTAGGTTTCATATGGCCCTAATGTCTAAGGCTTTAGGTTCTGTGTTACCTGGGGAGTAGCCTGGAGGTAGATGAAGCCATGTAATGTGAGCCGGCTAGCAAACTCGCGCAGGAGAAAAGAATGCCAGTCCTGATAGATATGCCATTCGATGTCACTGAGGGAACCATTTTCAAAAAGATTCTTTGCAAAGATATACCTGGTTGGAAATGGAAGTGGGATGGGGACGGGGAGAGGGAGGAGAATGGGAAATTGAATGAAAGGCACGAGAGAGAGAGAAAGAGAGAAAGAGAGAGAAAAGCAGAAAAATCAATAACCAACTTGTTCCATGTCTGTTCAAACCACACTTAACCTTTCTAGCTCCTCATCAATCCTTAAGAAATCTAAATTCTTAACCCATACCTCCCTCCCTGCTCAATACTAAGATGGGAAATAGGATCTAGACTCTGGAGGCTGAAACCACTCCTTTCCAGATGGACTGATTCACTGGAATAAACGGAACAGATGATAATATCATTGGTCTCTAACAATTTTCTTTATTAGAAACTAGTCAGAACATATAGCAAATAATATATGTAAACTTGAACTTTTGAGATTTGCTTATTATTATTAAAGCAAGGCCCCAAACAAACAAGTGAATCCAGTATAAAGCCACCCACCAAATTTCATACAAGGACTGAAGGCTTCTGAGTCTCCAGGCTACTTAGCCGTCCTTTTGTCTAGCTGAAACATGCAGAAAAAATAGTATTTATGTGATGTCCTCTATGGAGCAGAAAATGCATTTCCTCCTAATTTCAGTATTACCAAGAAAGCAGACTCTTTTGGAAAGTGCATATGAGCTCTTGCTTGCTTCCTCTGCTGCTGAGTTTCTAGTTCAGATAAAAGAAAGCTAAAGCTAAAAATCAAACTAGCTTTGCCCCCTGCTTATTTCTAAGGCCAAAAGAGCATCTGGTAAACAGGAAATCAGAGCTAAACACAAACCATGGCTTCAAACCCAGGTCAATTCTGCTTTCGAACCTCAGGCATTTTAACATATAACATAATTTGCATCCTAAATAAGGGACTCCAGTTTTCAAGGCTATGCTCAGCAACTGGCCACTTCGGAGAAAATTAAATTCAGAACCCTTGTGTACGATGGCTCAGGAAAATGCACACTGCAAGGCTGTGTGCATCACCATTAAGAGAATACCTTCCAGAATAACACTCCAGAAACATTCACTAGCTATGTTACCTTGGGCAAGTCACTCAAATCCTTGCAGCCCATTATTATGAGGACTTGTATATAATCCTCATAAAGTGCTTAGAAGAGTGACTGGCACATAGTATTCAAGATATCTTAGTTATTATTATAACTGCTTTTTGTTAGGCTACGAAGAAGCTTAGAAACTTCAAAACTAAACTTTCCCAGTCTGGAATGGTTTAGCCATAGCCTAGTTGATGAAAATAAAGAAAAGGATAATATTTTAAACTCAAAATGTTTTTGGCTTCTTCACAGATAACTAGAAAATGAAATTAAGATCCTACAAAGTGACCACGCACTGTGGCTCACATCTGTAATCCCAGCACTTTGGGAGGCCGAGGTGGGTAGATCACCTGAGGCCAGGAGTTTGAGACCAGCTGGGCCAACTTAACGAAACTTCGTCTCTACTAAAAATACAAAAATTAGCTAGGTGGGGTGGCATGTGCCTGTAATCCCAGCTACTTGGGAGACTGAGGCACAAGAATTGCTTGAACCAGGAGGCAGGGTTTGAAGTAGACCAAGATCATACCACTGCACTCCAGCCTGGGCAACAGAGAAAGACTGTCTTAAAACAAAACAATATAAATTTCTATAAAGAGAAATTAAAGGTTTGCTAATAAGCCCTATGAAAGGGGTTCTTGGCTCTCTTGAGAAAGAGCACTTCCTTTATTTCTTCAAAGCTCGTGGTGGTGATGGGGTGAAGGGGTAGAAGGCTGTGGCGCTGAGTGGGAGGGAAGTACTGCAGACTGAATGCAGGGACTGCAGGGCAGAACAGGGCGTTAAGGATCTAGGAGCCAGGGCCTCTGCTCTAAAACCATATGCTAGTGTTTCCTTTAACTCAAACAGAAATGACTAAGATTTCTTCCTCCCTATAATCAACTCTCTCAGATAACCTGTGTTCCTCCTTTGGAACAAGTATCACACATGTGAGCATGTGTTCCGTCCCTGTTAGGCAGGAACTGGTGCCTCAACAGAGGAGGCATTCAATAAATCTGTGCTCAGTGAACAAAGTCTAAATTACCCTAAGGATTAGAACTTATAATTAGTTTTCCTTTCTGTCTCAAAAATGCCCTCACTGAAGATAGCACCTGGAAGCATGTTGTATGCCCATAGTGTAATCAATTCTTACCTCTTCCTTTACAAGTACAGGTTAAGATCCGTGTAGCTTATTAATGCATTTCTAATTAACAAAGTGTTTCTACTTCTCTATTTTCCTCTGAGGGTCTCACATGCCTACTTTATGAAGGGACTAGAAATAAAAACTGACTCTAGGCCGGGCGTGGTGGCTCACACCTGTAATCCCAGCACTTTGGGAGGCCAAGGCGGGCGGATCGCCTGAAGTCAGGAGTTCGAGACTACCCTGGCCAACATGGTGAAACCCTGTCTTTAAAAAAAAAAACTGACTGTTTCCAAGTAACTCATATGATTTTCCCAGTAACCCATTCAACTTCTGAGTCCGAGAGGCATGGCTTGGCAGAGGAGAGAGGAAAACAGGCAGGTGGTATATCCAACAGTTGAAAAAGAACTAAAACCTACAGCCCAGCTATCTGTAATTCACATGTTTAGCTTTTATAAAAAGTAGGTTCTCTCCGGTTACATAAAGAAGGAATGCATAGTCTATAGGGTTTGTTTTACATATCTTACATGATTTGGGGGTAAAGTCAGAAAAATCACTTGTCATTTACAAATGTCCCCTTATTTTTTCTTCTCGGAGGCTTTCTGGGAGCACTAAGAAATAGAACTAGTTTGTCTAATTTGGAATTAAGACAGTAACCGAGTGTCTTCAGTAGTGAACAGACAACAAAAATGCACCGTTTTCCATTTTGATAATTCAAAGAGGCTTAAGAAAGATCATACTGCTTGAAAGCACCATTTCACACTGATACTGGTCATTCATAGGCTTCAGACAAGAAAAACCCCAGCAGTGTCCAGATCAAGCCATCCTGACTTTGTCTCTAGGCAGCTTAACCTCAAGTCACAGCCTGGTCTCTATGGCAGAGCCAAGCGTTCTGGAGCCTGCATGTCTTAGCTCTTCTGGAGCAGAGGGGCTCACTTCCCAGGGTAGCTGCTAGCCTGCATTAATAGTGACTTCACATCTCACTCCCTCAGGTGGTCAGGATGATGCCATCCCTGATCTGACACAGGCACTGATGCCCACTAGACTCTGGCCAGCAAGAAGCCCTCTCACAGAAGAAGGGGTCAAAAAGGGCTAAATCTGAGACAGAAGCCAGTTTCACAGATGTGCTATTTCTGCCTAAGCATCCTTTCTTGAAGAATAAAAAAAGGCTGAAAATATCTCTTGTATCACTTTTAGGAACATAAATTTTAATTCCGTCTGTTTTTTTCTTAAAGAGGATAACCAACCACTGATTCATTTGATTTCCTAGAATATACGCTGCTACTTAAATGTCTATTCTGTGCCTTTTAGCATGTGATGATTACATTAGGTGGCTACCAGCTTGCTCCATGCCAGAAAATAAGGAAACATAAGGTAATCAGTAGCAATGTAAGAAATTCGAAGCATTCAGTTTATGAAAACCACAATTTCTTTTCTTAACATAGATGACAATTTGGTAGAAGTAGAACTCTGGACAAATCTGTATAGTGTTGTCTTTAAAAAAGAAGACAGTTGGGCCGGGCGCAGTGGCTTACCCCTATAATCCCAGCACTTCGGGAGGCCGAGGCAGGTGGATCACGAAGTCAAGAGATCAAGACCATCCTGGTCAACATGGTGAAACCCCGTCTCTACTAAAAATACAAAAATTAGCTGGGCATGGTGGCGCGCGCCTGTAGTCCCAGCTACTCGGGAGGCTGAGGCAGGAGAATTGCTTGAACCCAGCAGGCGGAGGTTGCGGTGAGCCGAGATCGCGCCATTGCACTCCAGCCTGGGTAACAAGAGTGGAACTCCATTTCAAAAAAAGAAAAAAAAAAAAGAAGACAATTTTTCAAAGTATAATTCTCAATGACCAGAGCAGTGTAGGATCTGTGTAAGAAGAGTAAACAGGCAGCATTGAGCATGGGGCTTGTGACTGGTGGAGGGCTTGGCGTCTTACCTGTCACTGTACACAGATCTCTCAAAGATCTGTACTGGCTTCCTGGCCTGTAAGAGTTCCTCAGGGAAGGGCTCCAGCTGTACTTTTAGGCGGCTCATAAAGGAAAATGTCTGGAATGTGTAGGACCATCGTGCTGGCTCCCGGTACATCATATCCAGCAAATTTCCAAGACTTTGGGCAGTGCAGGCCTAGAGGATAATTTAAAAAAAAAAAAACTTCCTAGAAAGCATATTTACTCCATAACGTACACCCTTCCACACATACCCCTACCTCCCCCAAACAGGTTTAAAAATAAATGGAAGAAATTACAAAAGTTTCCTTCCACCAAAAAGGTAAAATCAGATCCCCAGCTTAGTCAAAATTTCATAATCAGGCTGGGTGCGGTGGCTCATGCCTGTAATCCCAGCACTCTGGGAGGCCGAGGTGGATGGGATCACCTGAGGTTGGGAGTTCAAGCCCAGCCTGACCAACATGGAGAAATCCTGTCTCTACTAAAAATACAAAATGTGCCAGGCATGGTGGTGCATGCCTGTAATCCCAGCTACTCAGGAGGCTGAGTATAATATAATCCCAGCTACTCGGGAGGCTGAAGCAGGAGAATTGCTTGAACCCAGGGGGTAGAGGTTGCAGTGAGCCAAGATTGTGTCATCACACTCCAGCCTGGGCAACAAGAATGAAACTCCGTCACAAAAATAAATTAACTAATTAAAAAGTAAAATAATCAGGGATGAGATTTTTTGGGGGGAATGGAGTCTTGCTCTGTTGCCCAGGCTGGAGTGTGGTGGCGCGATCTCGGCTCATTGCAACCTCTGCCTCCCAGGTTCAAGCGATTCTCCTGCCTCAGCCTCCTGAGTAGCTGGGACTACGGGCATACACCACCATGCCAGACTAATTTTTGTATTTTTAGTAAAGACAGGGTTTCACCATGTTGGCCAGGTTGATCTTGATCTCCTGACCTCAACCTCATGATCCATCTACCTCAGCCTCCTAAAGTGCTGGGATCCCAGGTGTGAGTCAAGCACTGGGTCAGACATTTTCCTACCTATTAGATAAGACTCTCTAAAGGGAGATCACATGCCACTTTCAATATAACAAAAGCAGAGGAAGAACCATATATAGAATTAACACAATCACTGATTGAGGGATTTGTGAAGTCTGTCTGGGGAGGAAATAACAGTCAACAACCAACTAAAATTTAACTTGGAATCAAATCTTTCCACTGTAACACTATGTAGCCTCTCTTTTAAGCTTCCATCTGTAGCTATTTGTTTATGAAATTTCAAGGCAAACAAGAAAGCAACTGCTTATTTGAAAATCCAACCAATCAACCACCAAACAGAATTCTATCTTTCATATAAAGACTAGAATTTGTTTGTTAAAACAAACAAAAACAAAACCCTCCTTCATTCTAGAGACTTTGTAAAACATAATTTGAAGCGTTTCACTTACTCGGCATGTGCAAGTAGGCACAAGTGTAGGATGTTCAGCAGCCCAGAATTCTTTTTTTTTTTTTTTTTTTTTTTTGAGACAGAGTCTCACTCTACTGCCCAGGCTGGAGTGCAGTGGCTTGATCTTAGCTCACTGCAACCTCCCAGATCACTGCAACCTCCACCCCCTCTCCCCACTGCAAGAACTGAAGAGATTCTCCTGCCTCAGCCTACTGAGTAGCTGGGATTACAGGTGCCTGTCACCACCACCAGCTAATTATTGTACTTTTAGTAGAGATGGGGTTTCACCATGTTGGCCAGGCTGGTCTCGAACTCCTGACCTCCGGTGATCCACCCATCTCACCCTCCCAAAGTGCTGAAATTACAGGAGTAAGCCACCATGACTGACCGGCCTCAGATTCTTTTCTGGGTCTGCTGTTGACTCAACAATGCAAAAGTGAGTTTTGTACAAAAACACTTTGGATCTATATTTATTCATTTAATCACCAGTAACTGAAGGCCTATGTGGATGAGGCGCTACACGGGCAGGGTACCATAAGGGTATAGAAAAAGGAACTAACATTTATTTCAACCTTTACTGTGCATACCACTGTCCTCACCTACTTTTTAAAACTTTTTTTTTTTTTTTTTTGTAGAGATTGGGTCTCACTTTGCTACCCAGGCTGGTCTCAAACTCCTGGGGCCTGAACAGGCAATTCACTAAAGAATACAAAGATACACAAAACATGGCTTTATGTTAAAAAACAAACAGCATAGCTACAATGATATTCATCACTGCAACACTGTTTATAATAGGAAAAATAAGAAAAGGAAATACTCAAAATAAAGGACTGGATAACTAAATGATAATATTCACATTGTGTAGTGCACTACAACCATTAAAAGGACATCACAGGGAAAGGAAGATCTTGTCTATTAAGTGACATGCAGGTAACAATCACAATTTTTGTTTCAAAAAGCAAATGTATATATATTTTATACATTTATGTAAGTGTATGTAAATCTATACATTTTCTTTGTAGAAAAAAGTCCATTTTACCTGTGAATAATGGGATTATAGGATGATTAATTATCTATTGTTGCCTAACAAATTACTCCAAAGTTCAGTGGCTTAAACATTCATTATCTCAGTTTGTAAGGGGCAGGAATCTGAGAAGCAGCTTAGCTGGGTGGCTGGGCCTCAGGGTTTCTCATGACGTTTCGGTCAAGATGTTGGCTGAGCCTATGGTCGCCTGAAGGCTGGACTGTCGCTGGTTCCTCTCGTGTGGGCCCCTTGAAAAGGCTGCTTCCTGACACAACAGCTGGTTTCCCCTAGAGCAAGATGAAAGCTAGGGTAGGTCTTATAACCTACCCTAGAAAGGTATTTCTTGTTTTTGCTACTTTCTATTTACTAGAAACAAATCACAAAGTCCAGCCACATTCAAGGCAAGAATCATGCTCTACTTCTTGAAGGGAGGAATATCAAACAATTGTGGACATACAGTCATGTATCCTTAACAACAGGAATATGTTCTGAGAAATGCATCATTAGGCAATTTTGTCACCATGTGACCATCACAGAATGTACTCACATAAACCTAGATGGGATAGCCTGCTACACACCTAGGCTACATGGTATACCCTATTGCTCCTAGGCTACAAAGCTGTATCACATCCTACTGTATCACATCCTACAGGCAACTGTAACACAATGGTAAGTATTTGTGTATCTAAACATAGAAAAGGTACAGTAAAAATATGTTATTATAATCTTATGGAACCACCATTGTATACATGGTCTATCATTGACAAAATCATCATTATGTGGCCCATGACTGTATTTTGAAATCTCAACAGGTGACCTGTGGCATACTCAGAAAAAGATACATAATTTATTCCTACATAGGAAAGTTAATTTTACAAATAACACACACAGGCACACATACAGACATATAAACAGACAACGTAAGAAGCAAAAATCCTCAATAGGCATGATATGCCAGCCAGAAAAGGTAACACAATTCTGGGTTGGAATAAAAAAGAAAAATGGCACCCAGGAACAAGTTCCATGATACTCTGTCCCACTTAGACTATATCCAGAATGTCCTGTTCACCTCCAAGTAGCACTCTTAGTAAATTCAAAGTGGAAAGTGAACAAATTCCGGGTCATCACTTAGGCAAAGTTACTTCAGAGTAAAGAATAGCCTGGAAGAAAACTGGAGGTGTTTGGCTAGAAAGAGAGAAGACTTGACCAGGCTTGGTGGCTCATGTCTATAATCCCGGCACTTTGGAGGCCAAGGTAGGTGAACTGCTTGAGCCCAGGAGTTCGAGACCAGCCTGGCCAACATGGCGAAACCCCATACAAAAATTAGCCCAGAGTGATGGTGTGCACCCACAGTCCCAACTACTCAGGAGGCTGAGGCATGAGAAATGCTTGAACCTAGGAGGTGGAGGTTGCAGTGGGTTGAGATCACACCACTGCACCCCAGCCTGGGAACAGAATGAGACTTAAAAAAAAAAAAAGGGAGAGAGGCTTGAGGGGGAGAAAGAACAGGAAAATCATTGCCGTCAACTATATATAGGGTTGTTACAAGGAAAAGTTAAAAGATTTAGGAGGCAGAACTTGAACCAATGAGTCAGAGTCACAGGGGTGCAACATGGCTCATTAAAAGGCAGAATTGTCTAGTAATTAGAGTTAAGAACCAGAATGCGCCACTCGGTGAATGTTCAGGTGGCGGCAGAAGTTCATGGTGCCTGAGGAGGCATGGTGCTTCCACTCCTGAGGGTCCTGTCGAAACAGGTCCTTCCTTACTCACTCATGTGGCTGGATACCAACCTTATGGCCTCTGCCAAAGCTGTAGTCTTGACACCAGGGCCTAAGCCATGAGATATAAGTAAAATGTACCATGTTTGGCATAAGTACAGTACCTGGCACATAGTATGTGCTCATAAATGTTAGCAATTACCTCTCCCATTGACTCAAAGTATGGCAGGAACCTCTCTAATATCCCTTCCAATTTCTAAGACTTTATTAAAAAGTTAAAATCACTATAATTAGTTATTAATCCTAGTGGTTAGCTTTAGTAATAACATAAATACTTAAGTGTAGGAATGACAAAATTCATCTTCAAAGCCATACATGATGGTTGGACATGCTTTGGGAAACCACAAACAACAGAGGCAGTCACTTAGATAGACATAGAAAAACCACAAAAATCAAAACTACACATATTCAAACAAGTCATATCCTCTCTGGTGTATGTGGTCTGCTTTCTGGAATGAAGCTATTTTAAAAAGGATACTCAAGCTGGGCTACTTTACCCACTCAGAGTAAATTAAATTATGACAATTAGATTATTCACCCATGTCTGCCAACTACCCACCACAGCTAAAAACTTACTTTTTGGGTGCCAGCAGCCTGGATATTCTGCCATCTCGCTACAGGTTCTGTAGCTACGTGCCACTCTGGGTAAGTTTTCATGAGTAACTTCACAAAGGTGGACTTTCCCACAGCTGCAATGCAAACAGCATGTATTGGGATGCTTCCCAAATCAGGGCTGAAGGAGAAGGATAGCTGCTAAACTCTGGCACAAACACCCAACTCAAGGGAATAAGTATCAGTTTTCTGAATTTCAAACTCAGCAGCCAAACCATTGTCAGACTGATAATAGGTCAATCCATGCAAACCAGAGCCATCATAATGAATACAGCCAACAACGAAGAAAAATTCTTCAAGATTTAATTTGCAATTTCCATGTCTCAACCTTCCAGAGGCAGGGCATTTAATAACAGTTGAAATATAAAAGTAGATGAAATCAGCTCCATAAGTTCTATCACTTGAGTCACCATCCTATTTGTGTAAAATTTCTAAATTTTTCAAGATAAAAAATAAAAATGATTATAATCCTTCATTCAACAAATCTAATTCATGGAGTGCTGACTATGTGCTCAGGACTGTCAGTCACTATGGGTACAATGGTAAACAAAACACAGAATGGATTTTGCCCTCACAGAGCTTGTATAGGTAACAGATAGTAGAAAAACACATAATTAAAGCTAAAAAGTTGTGTTAGGTGCTACAAAAAATGCAGGATGGCCCAGGGGGTCAGAGAAGGCTCCTTTGAAAAAATGACACCTAAGGTGAGACCTGAAAGATGACAATTCATGCAGCGGGAAGAGAAAGAACTTGCCACACAGCAATACAGAAGTTTGAGGCCCTAGAAGAAGCCAGTATGGCTACAGCATGAGCAAGTGATGAAGGAATGGCTCAAAATGGGTGTGGCCACACAGACAAGGAGGCCAGGGCCAGGTCACATACACTGGGCTTCACAGTCATGAGAAGAAGACTGAATTCTATTCTAAGGGCAATGGGAAGTCAGTGAGGATTGGTTTTAAGTAAGGAAATTACAAGACTCCTTGTCTCTCCTCTTTTTTTTTTTTTTTTTTTTTTTTGAGATGGAGACTCACTCTTTCACCAGGTTGGAGTGCAGTGGTGCAATCTTGGCTCACTGTAACCTCCGCCTCCTGGGTTTAAACGATTGTCCTGCCTCAGCCTCCCAAGTAGCTGGGACTACAGGTTCACACCACCACACTCAGCTAATTTTTTATTTTTATTAGAGAACAGGGATTCACCATGGATGGTCTTATCTCTTGACCTCATGATCCACCAGCCTTGGACTCCCAAAGTGCTGGGATTACAGGCCTGAGCCACTGCACCTGGCCGACTCTTCATTTTTAAAAGATCACTCCACCAGCTGTGTTAAGAAAGGACTGAAGCAGAAGCAGCAGACTAGTTAAAAGATAGAGCAGCTTGCTCAGGGGTGACAGCAGAGGAGTAAAAAGTAGTGGTTGTTTCGAGAAGTATTTTGGAGATTTCATCAACCTAGTACCACAACATTCAAGTTATCTTTTCCCACTTATACCAAGGTTTGGCCCATACCTCCCTGAGCTCCACAGACACTATTCAAAAACGCTCCAGACATCTCCACTTGGGACATCCCACAAACACCTCAAAGTCAACATATTTCCTAAATGAACTAATCATCTTTGCCACCAAACTGAGCTTTCTCCTGTATCCCAGACCACAGGGTATGAACGCACCATCCACTCACTGATGGAAGTCCCTCCTCTGCCAAACCTCAAGTGGCCACCAAATCCTTCTGCATTTGCTTCTAAGTTTTTCATATTTGTCATTTTCTCTCCATTCCCACCTCCATGCTCAAGAACAGCTTCTTATCGTCTCTTGTCTTTCCGATGCTGGCTTTGCCCTCTTCAATCCATGCTCCATACTGTGGTCAGACTGAACACAAAATAGCACTGCTTACAATTTTTTGACAGCTCCCTATTGGCTACAGCATGGGCAAGCAATGGAGGAGTGGCTCAAGATGTGCAAGGCCATATGGGCAGTCCAGGGCCAGGTCATAGAGGGCCTTGTGGCCACGGTAAGAACTCTGAATTCTATTCTAATGGCAATGGGAAGCCAGTGACATCTGACCTAAGGTCTGAACAAGCTTCATTACAAACTCCAAACTCTTCAACGTGGTCTGCAAGACACAAGATCTGATCCCTGCATATCCCTCTCTGGCCTGGGCTTTCCTTCAGGCAGCCTACACTCCTGCAGAATCAAACTCCAATCACGCCATGTTCTCTCTTGCAAATATGACTTTGTATATGCTCTCCCATTTCCTGAAGCACCTCCTCTCCTCACCTGACCAACTCTTACTCAATCCTCAAGGCTCTAAGATGTACCTCCTGTGTGAAGCCTTTCCAGATCCTGACACCTCTAAGCTGGATTAGCTAGTCCTCCTTTGTGCTTGGCTTGGTATTTTGGGTGAGACTCCCTCACTGCAATTGTCATTGTTTCTCCAGCTAGAGGATGGGGCTCCTCCAGGGTAGAGAACGAAGTACAATCTAATAACCTGGCCACATGAATAAAATACACAATGTTATTAATTTCAGTTCCCTCTAAACCCTGCATTTGTGAAAAATAAAAAATGAATCTTTAGACTGTATCTGGAGCTCAATCTCCTCTATCAGAAGTAATCTTTCTCAAGGGAAAGAAGGGGGGCATCCTTCCACTCATGGTTACTGATTGGGGTGCTGATGTCTCAGCACAAGAACCCACACATCTAATAGATGACATTTACTACATGCCACCCCAACTCCTCTCTGAATAGGCAGGATAAGAACAAACAGCATGAATCTGTGAATTTGTACAGTCACGCTCATCGCTCAGTCCCCACCTCCACCTAACTTGTGTGTGCTTCTTCACATTTGTTCAAACCCTGCTCTTCCCACACTCCAATGAATAAATGCCCTCCCCTGCTCTCCTAGGCCTGTGTCTCAATTCTTTTCCCCCACCAAGCCTAAGGTCCCACTTCTTCAGGACTTCTCTAGCTCTGCATTCCTACCACACTGGTCAGGTGCCAAGTGGTTGAATGTGTAAATTATCAGATACCTGTCTGCCCTGAGTAAGCTCTCACTTAAAATATTTAACCCAGATTCTCAGTATTTAGATTGTAGGTTGTTTAATAAGTCTAAAATATGGTTGCTGCCTATAGGCTAAAAAGCTATTTTAATATGAAAAGATAAACACAGCTGATTTGTTAGATGGCTGGGATTGAATAATTGTTAGAATTACTTATATATTTTAAAAGTTAAAAACAGGCCGGGCGCGGTGGCTCACGCCTATAATCCCAGCACTTTGGGAGGCTGAGGCGGGTGGATCACGAGGTCAAGAGATCAAGACCATCCTGGTCAACATGGTGAAACCCCGTCTCTACTAAAAATACAAAAATTAGCTGGGCATGGTGGCGCACGCCTGTAGTCCCAGCTACTCGGGAGGCTGAGGCAGGAGAATTGCCTGAACCCAGGAGGCGGAGGTTGCGGTGAGCCGAGATGGTGCCATTGCACTCTAGCCTGGGTAACAAGAGCGAAACTCCTTCTCAAAAAAAAAAAAAAAAAAAAAAAAAAAAAAAAAAATTAAAAAAAAAAAAAAAAAAAAAAAAAAAAAAAAAGTTAAAAACAATTACCTTAAAAAAAATGTTGCAGTGCTCGCTTCGGCAGCACATATACTAAAACTGGAACGATACAGAGAAGATTAGCATGGCCCCTGCGCAAGGATGACATGCAAATTCGTGAAGCGTTCCATATTTTTAAAAAAATATTTTAAAAAATTGTTGCAGGTGGAAAGGAAGGGCTCTGAGGTTTGAGAAATACCAACTTCACCTCTGAGGTCAGACACTATTAGTTCATCTAACAGCAGTAAGGACTCCCAAGAAACTGACTCATGCAATTTAAACACACAAACTCTGGAATGCCAACAAATTAGATGTAATAGGAAATATACAGTTCCAATGACTGGAACAGTAACATCCAATACCCAGGGTACTCTGTAACCTATGCCCCATTCCAAAGCTTCTGGAAAGCCAGGTTAGTAATCAGAAGGCAGCTTCCACACACAATGACAGTAAATGGTGGTGAAGGGTCCTGAGAGCTGTGCCATTCATGTTTCTGGGGCTTGGAGAGCCTGGATAATTGGAAAGCCTGGATAATTCACTATGGGGCAGTGTGTCTTAAACTAATTCCACTGCAATTGAGCTGTGCCAAGTACCACCCACAGATGTGGAATAATTACTTTAAAAAATAATTCAAGGTGGGGCGCAGTGGCTCACGCCTGTAATCCTAGCACTTTGGGAGGCCAAGGCAGGCAGATCATGAGGTCAGGAGATCGAGATCATCCTAGCCAACATGGTGAAACCCAGTCTCTACTAACAATACAAAAAATAGCTGTGTGTGGTGGCAGGTGCCTGAAATCCCAGCTACTCGGGAGGCTGAGGCAGGAGAATTGCTTGAACCCGGGAGGCGGAGACTGCAGTGAGCAGAGATCGCGCCACTGCACTCCAGCCTGACAACAGAGTGAGACTCCATCTCAAAAAGTAATAATAATAATTCAAAGTTATATATTTTTATTAAAGCCAGACACAATATAACCTTCTTAGTGCTGTGATACCTGATCATAATAGGTTTTTTTTTTTTTTTTTTTTAAGACAAATTTTTCAAGGTGTTCACAGGGGATTCATAAGAATGGTGGTATTTGGCTCTCCACTGCTTCAGACGCCTCCTCCTAGTAACCAGAAAACCCTGGTCTACAGAAAGCCATACTTCTTTAGCCAATCTCTTATGATGTCATTATCTCAGATTTACCGCAATTTAGTTATATCTTAGCTTAGCTGTTATCTTTCCTTTTGTTGAGATGGGGGTCTCTCTCTGTCACCCAGGCTAGAGTGTAGTGGTGCGATCCTGGCTCCGCCTCCAGGGCTCAGGCGATCTTCTCACCTCAGCCTCCTAACTGGAACTACAGGCCGGTGACGCCACGTCCAGCTAATTTTTTGTGTGTATTTTTGGTGGACATAGAGCTTCACCATCTTTCCCATGCTGGTCTCAAACCCCTAAGTTCAAGTGATCAGCCTGCCTCAGCCTCCCAAAGTGCTGGGATTACATGTGTATGCATG